TAGATAAGACTAAAACTTTATATTACAATAATTTTATATTACACAATTATAGATAAATAATACTACAAATTAAACAATTCTGAAATTGATATATAAAGTATCTAGAAGCAGATATTTAATTTAAATTGTATTTGAGAAAGCTCTAAAAATATTTTTAATAGTTAATTTCTCTATTTAACCTAATATAATTGGTTCTATTTGGTTCTTGACTACAATTCAATCTGATATTTAAAAGATTATTACTTTTTAAACCAGAATAGACTAGATAAACTAATTAATAGCTTTAATTTTAACTGTATACTATAATTATCAAAATAGCAAGTTTTATTACAAACATTTTATAGTAACTTATAATAGAAATCAAGATAATTTTAATACAAGCTACTTGCTTTTACTAATTACTAAAACAACAAGTTATATAATAGATCTTTCTATAGTATTAACCTTTTCCATCTTTTTTTATTAGTATGCTATAAATCACTTCTAATAATATTAATTTTAAATATAGATTATCTTGTTTATTGGCTATAATTTTACTTGTGATCTGCTATATTTCTTTTTAAAAAGAATTTTTATTAAGTATTTTTATATTATCTTTATTTGATATAAATATTAGATACTATCTTGATATATCTGATATATATATATATATAATATATCTAATAATCTTTTAAATTTTTTTATTATATTCAGGTTGTATTTATAAAATTTTGACTATTATATGAAATTATATATATAATAAAGGTTTCATATAATAAAAAATTTTGCATATAAATAGAATATAATTTTAAGTGTTATTTCTAAATTTATATTATTATTATTTTTTTTTTTAAGACAAAATCTTGATCTTATATGTTTTATTAAATTAATTAACTATTATTAACTTTTTACAAATTTAGTAAATAACTAATTTAGCTTTGATATACAATAAGAATAGAGCTATATTTTTTTTTCAATACTTAGACAGTCTCACTAGTACTTTTATTAGATATATAATAAAAATTTAAGAATTAATATATTGATCTAATTTAATAAGTTTAACATTACCCAAATATTCTAAAAATACCTAAATATGACCTGCTGCACTAATTTATCTAAACGACAAACTAGAAAGTTATGTCAGAAAGCCTACGTATTTTTTCCTTTAAAATTTTCCTTCTTCTTATAAAACTAAATGAAAAAAGGGATATATGAATAGACTATGATCATTTGATAGAGAAGTATAAAAGGGGAAAGAAAAAATAGAGAAAAATCTAAATAGAATAACAAGAAAATGAAGTAAAAAAAGAAAAAGAAGAAACAAAAAGAAAGAAATAAAAGCTACTCTGACTGCTCTAATCCTAATTAAAAGAAAGAGTAACCCTTAAAAAACACTATTATAGCCTGTAAAAGGCTTGAAAAAATTATATAACAAATGCAATATCTGTATATCTCTACTGTAAAGCTTTGCCTTAACATATGAATTTCTTTCTGATTATACAACTATTTTTGGATTCCTTTAACCAGGAATCTAGACCCATGAAGTAGCACCATATCTGTTAGTAAACAAAACACATAGTTGCAATCTACTAGATCATCAGAATTTGAAAGAAGTAAACAATGCTGATCTTTTGACAGGAGTAAGCTGTTTTGCTCACTTTTTATGAAAATTTTGAAGAAAAAGCAAATGGGTGATAGTATAGAAAATAGCCCTTGTACTCTTTTTTAAAGAATATATATTTTTTTCTGAAAGTAGTAGAATGTATAGAGCCAAGTGAACTGCTGCCTTTCTTGTCAGTAGGTGATAAACCCTGAACTTGTTAGCAAGTATATAAATTATTATTGTTGGCTTCTGTTTGGTCAAATTTTATTAATTTTTGTTATTACAGCTATAAAGCCTAACTACAACATGAGATCTTTGTGCTGCTATCATAGTTATGATGCTTTATTAACAAAAATAAAGTTTTGCACTACCTGTAACATCTATAGATCTAAACACTGTATAAAGTCCTTGCATTGCTATAATAGCCAAGGAGCCAAATCACAATGTAATATTCTTGTAGTTGCAGAGCCTAATTGCCAGCATGAGGTTTCTGTACTGCTTGTAGCAGCATAAAGCCTAATCACAACATGAGGTTCTTGTATTGCTATAATAGCCACAAGCTTAATTATAATCTGAAATCCTTGTACTGTTATTATAGTTGTGGAACTTAATTGCCAAACATGAGTTTTTGCAGTCATAGAGTCTCACAGCATGAGGTTTTTGCATTGCTATTGCAGCCATGGAGCCTAATCACAATGTGTGATCCTTGTATTACTATTATAGTTATGGTGCTTAATCACCAAATATAAGGCTCTTGCACTGTTTGCAGTAGCTATAGATAGTGATAAGCAAATCGTGGTTTTTTTAAAATCTCGCATAGCTACATGAAATTACGTGCAAGATCCATGTGTGATCTGTAGGATAGGATAGAGCTTTTTGATTTCTTATGAATAATAAATATTTATCTATAAAGATTATTACAGGAATATAATTCTTATAAATATAGTATATTTTAAATAACTTTTCCTTATAAATCTTAATTTATTTATTATAAATAAAATTCTTATATAGATTTTGCCTATTTTTAAACACATGGGGTGAGTCAATAAAAATCAAGCAAATTTTTTATAATAAAAATTTTTTATAAATTTAAGCAAGAATAACTTAACAAAAATTTAATAAACATTTTTTAAATAATTTTTATAAACTTGTAAAATTAATTTAAAAAAATTTTGAAGAATTAATTTAAAAAAATTTTAATAAAATTTAATTAAGTTTTTGTTAAGTAATCCTTGTTTAAAGTTAAAAAAAAAAACTTATTAAAAATATTTGCTTGATTTCTATTGACTCAACCCATATATAGAAAATTTCTTACACAATTTAAGTTTAAAGAATTGAATCTTATAATTATTAAATTTTATCAATTCAGATTTTACATTGATTTTAATGATTGTTTTTATGATATTGTACTGTAAAATGTAGAAAACTTGCATATTATTTTCATGTACATTAATAACAAATTAGGAATTGGCCCGATTATGTTAATGCAGGCCGGATTATATGTAATGTAGACCAGATGAAAGTTAACATGGGCCGAATAATTTCATATTAAAAATCCCGCACGGGATTCAAAAAAATCCTGCGCATCCTGCGCGTGATCACGCGCGGATCCCGCGCGTTGCCCATCACTAGCCATAGAGCCAAATCACAATTTATGGTCCTTGTATTGCTATCTATCGCAGCCACAGAGCCTAATTACTATTGTAGTTGTGTATCCGAATCACCAAATATAAGGTTCTTACTGCCTGTAGCAGCCATAGAGTCTAATCAGATAATGTCCTTGCATTGCTATCGCATTCACAGAGCCTAATCATGACATGGAATTCTTCCATTGCTATTGTAGTTGCGAAGCTTAGTCACCAACATGGGGTCTTACACTGCTTGCGGCAACCATAGAGCCTAATCACAACATAAAGTCCTTGCATTGCTATCACTGCCACATGTTTAATCACAATATGAGATCCTTGTACTGCTATCGTTGTTGTGAAGCTTATTCGCCAAGCATGAGGTTTTTGCACTACTTGCAGCAGCCATAGAACCTAATTACAGTGTAAAGTTCTTTTTGCAGCCATGGAGCCTAATCACAACATGAGATCCTTGCACTGCTATCATTGTTATGTGCTTAATCACAAAACATGAGCTCTTGCATTGCCTGCGTCAGCCATAGAGACTAATCGCAACACTAGATCCTTGCATAACTACCGCAGCCACGAAGCCTAATCAAAACGTGAGATTCTTGTACTGCTTTATAGTTGTGACTCTATAAAAAAAAAAAGAGTCTATTCAATTTTGTTCAGATTATTATTTTAAAAAAATAAGCATCTTTCGTAATAAAAATCCGAACAAAATCTGAATAGAATAGGGGGATCAATCACCAAACACGAGGTTCTTGCATTGACTGCGGCGGTGGTATATCAAAATCCCGACACACAAATTCTCGATATACAAAATCCCGGCAACAAAATCCTGATACACAAAATCCTGACAAATTAAAATCCTGACAATATTAAAAATTGGAATTTTAATTTGTCAGGATTTGTGTATCGGGATTTTGCTGCTGGGATTTTGTGTGTCGGGATTAGTATGTTGGGATTCTGACATACAACCCCTGCGGCAGCTATTGAGCTAATCGCAGCATGAGGTCCTTGCGTTGCTATCACAGCCATGGAGTCTAATCACAATATGAGGTCCTTGTACGGTATAATACAAAATCAATAGTACACTCATCTCTAACTCCCTTTAAGCAACTCAAGCGCCTAGTTTTATAATAAAAATTATAATAATTTTAATACAAATTAAACCTATATACTATTGTCTTGAAATACAATTAAGTTTATTTATAGTAATCTATAGTAGAAATCAAGATAATTCCAATACAAACTAATTTGATTTTGATCATATATTGATTACTAGAATTGCAAGTAAGTTTTATAACAGAATTTTTACAATATCTTATAGTAGAAATCATAATAATTTAATATTAATTCAGAATTATTCATAATGAATTATATAAAAATTATAATAATCCTAATTATTAACTGATACATACTATAGCTATCAAAATAGCTAGTAAGTTTTGTAACAGAGTTATTTATAGCAACTTATACGACTTATACGTAATAGAAATCATAATTATTTTCATGAGCTTGAACATTTAGATTGATAAAATTTCTTCTACATTCACACCAAATAAAAATTTAAAAATTTGGACTTTTTATTAAAAAATAAAGTGCAATATAACGTAAACAAAATATAAAAAAATATAGTAACTTTTTATAAATTTGAGCAGCAATAAACTAAATATTGAAATTGTTTCATAATACCAATGAGATATCATTTCCTGACGATTTGAATAAAACACATTGTAAATCAAAGAATAATCATAATGTAAAAATAATCAGTTAGATAATCTTAATTATCATTTGAATAAGAGACTAACACCGGAAAGAATGAATGGATTAGCTGCAGGACGAATTAAAGCAAGACAACTAACAGATGATTCTTCATCTTGAGCATCAAACACTTTGATTTTGAATGTGAGCTTCTTATTTGCAAATTCAAGCGTCTATCATTTGAAAGAAATTTTTTTAGTGAAATTTATTCATAAATTTTTGTAGATAAAAAATTAAAACATACTTCAAGTGAAGGACTGACACCAACGGTGATAGGTGAGAAAAAGCTAGTCGGATTACATGTTAGTGTAACTGTAACCAATTCTAATTAAAGCAAAACGAAAGAAACCTTACATTATAAGTGCCAAATAT